TGTTGTCCCACCACAGCGGGTTGTTCCCCTGGGCCCAAGCTGCATCACTGGCCTCTCTCATCAGCTGTCCTGTTGTGTTTGGGGAGCTGACAGGACGTGGTGTCCCTGCACTCCGCTCCCCTCTGCTTTCCCCACCTCCCTCCTTCCCTCCCTCCCGCTGCCGGGTTGTGCAGAACCTGGGTCAGTTTGGGTTTTCTCTTTCCAGGCTGCTATAACTACCTGTACAGGATGAAGGCTCTGGATGCCATCAGAACCTCCGGTAAGGGAGCTCGGGGCAGGAGCGGGTGGGGAAGGCTGGATGGTGACCGTGTGTGCAGGGAACGAGGGTGCGGCATGTTGCTGGCAGCGTCATCGTAGAGCTCAAGGTCCTTGTTTGGGAATCACAGTCCTGGGAATAGTATCTGACCCGGGCTGTGGCCTGAGAGTCTGTTCCTGTGTTGGGAGCAACGAGCAAACCGAGGCGGTGGATCTTTCAGATCCGTTGTCTTTGGGTGAACACGAGCGTTTAACCCTCACTTCAGCCCAGGACATTGTGCTTTTTGTTTTATTATTCTCCAGAAATCCCGTTTCACGCAGAGGGCCGGTACCCAAAGTCTTTAACAGGGAAGAATTTCTGTGCCTACCTGCTGGAACTGCGGAACTCCAGCACCTCCTTCAAAGGCATCCGCAAAGCCTTGGTCGACACCTTGCTGGATGGGTACGAGAGCGCCCGCTACGGCACCGGGGTGAGCGTCAGCGCTGCGCCGGGGGCTGTCCCCGCGCTCCGGGCTGCCAGCAGGACTCACCTCACGCTGGGGTTCCCATGGGGTTTTTTCTCCTGTTTGCATCCAGGTCTTTGGGAAAACAGAATATCTGAAGTACCAGGATGCTCTGAACGAGCTGGCAAACCTGTAAGTGTGACTGCCCAGGTGTGAGGCTGGGGTGCAGTGGTGGCTTCTTAGGGCCCAGCAGCCCATTATGGAGGTAACAGAGGGATTTGGGGGCAAAATCCAGCCTCTGAGACATGGGCTGTTTACACGTGTCCGTCCTTCTGGGTTTGCTCCTCACAGCCCGTCTGTTGCTCCATTTTTGGGTGTGTTACTCGGTCACAGTCCCCGTTTCTGCTGGCTCTGGGCACATTGAGCCAGGGACCTCGTGGGGGCTCCGGGCCTGGCACCTTGGTTTTCAAAACCACTGTGAGTGCCACTGTCCTGAGGGCAGATCTGCCTCGTGTGGGACAGACGGGCACGGTGGTGGAGTGGCTCCTCTGGTGTAGGTGGCAGCTGTGATGGTGCCTCTCCTCT